AAAAGTACTTTAAACTGTATAAATAATGTAAAATTAAATTGATTTAAACAGCCAATCATACGAATGTCTTCCTATGATGTCTAATGCAAGTCTAATTACAAATATAGTGCAATTAACTTTTAAATTATATTTGTCAGATTCATTTCAATGTGCTCTTTAAAGTAATAACACGCCTTTTTTTATTTTTATTGTTTGGCACATAATGGTGAACTCAATTTTTATGCAAAATGGTTATTTTTGTTGTTTTTTAATAAAAATATCAAAAACGTAACTTTAAAATTTTTTGTCAATCGATTGTATTATTCGAAGTTACGTTTTTCGAATTTTTACAAAAACGACCATTTTGCATAAAAATACTCCAAACAATAAAAATAATGAAAAAAGAGTTATAACTTTAAAGAGCACACTAAAATGAACCCGACAAATATAATTTTATTTGTGTGAGACCAATTTGATTTGGTGGTTTACATTACATTGTTCTCCCCCTTTTTTGATAGACCCCAATAAGAGACTGATATTTTTTTTATTAAAACGATAACTTATTTTTAGTACAGTTTATGCGTTATCTCCTGCATTATATGTACGTATCTCCTCAATAATGGTTAATAATGGTTCATTTAATATTCACATGAATATTTCATATATGAAAAATTGAGACCTAGATTTTCTGCGTTTAATACGTAATTTAGAAAACTACTAGTTTATGCATTATCTCTACATGGAATATTAAGATCTATAGATTTCTTGAACTGCATGTGCATACATATAAATAAATAAATAAATAAATGCTGAAATTTGAAGACACTACGTTTTCTCTAACGCAATCTTCGCCATTATATTTTACTACAAATCACTTCAGCCAAGTTTCCCACTTAATAACACAATTGACGTAATTGTGACTTCATTACTTCCATTAATTATAGTTGGTCAGTTTAAATGCTTTGAACAATCAAAGCAAAGAAAATTCTCCGCTATAAATATTTTTGATGATGTTATCATTTTTTTATCTATCATCATTTACCCTTCAATTAATGCATATCAATGGTTTTCATACTATTCTAAAGAACAGCAAAATCGTTTAGTTGCCGTAACTACAAGCTGTATTGGATTCATGATAATTTATTACATTTGGTTTTTAAAACGGAGACGTTTAGATAATGATCAAAAAGTAGAAATGTGCTTTAGGAAATTTACAATTTATGTTATCGTTAATTATCTTAGTTTTATATTAGTAGTATCATATGGTATGCTTGTTGTTGGTGATATCTCTACTGATAATATCAAAAAATATAATGAAACTTATGTTAGTGATTTTTGTGTTGAAAACTTCGGCTTTGACAGATGCTATACATTGAAAATAATTAATAATTATATTGTATTATTTTTTTTGATAGTATTTAATGCAATTTTGCTTTTATATAATCTTATTTATTATTATCACTTTAAGAGATCTTACTATAAGGTTCATAAGATTTATAGTTAGCATTATAATTCTAAATTTATCAAATTTGAAAAAATACGTAATTTCAATTTTATATTTTTTCTAACATTCTATCCAGCAATTATATCGGGATATTTACTTAGTACAGATTCCCTTACTACAAAAATTGCTTTCACGATATGCAGTATATCTTTTAGTAGATTAATTGAACACTTTGGCGACAATGAACCTAAAAAAGTTAAAACAATTGTTTCTTTTTACCTAAATTGGCATGCTGATATGGTTGAAAAATATAAAATAGACAAGGTAAAAGACATGTTAGAAGAAAACGTGATAACAAAACTTAAAAAAATAACAAATCAAACAAATGAAGTTACAAAAAAGAAGATAAACTTTATAAAAGAACCGCTAGGCAACCTAAAAGAAGAACTTGAAAGTATAATTATAGAATATGAAATAGGTCAAATGGAGGATCAAATAAGTGAAATAAATGAAGCACTGAAGTATCAGAAGAAACAAGTAGAACTATTAAAAAATTGGATTAAAGAAGTAGAAGAAAAAGCCAAAGAAATTGAAATAATGAATAAAAAATCAGAAGAAAACTGGAACAAAATTTGTAAAGCACTAGAGGATACAATTAAAGAACTAGAGAAGCTATTAAATAAAGATAAAATAGAAAGTGTCGCATAGTTCTAGAACAACCCTTATATTTGGTTGATCGATAGTGGGTTTTAACATATGAAAAATAAAACTGGTTCTAAACTCTAATGATATGATGATATGATGTTATCATGTGCACTATAATCTTAACTCACTACTATAATTGGATAAATGAAAACCATTAATTATACTAAATTTCAAAAAAGCAACATAGCGAAAGTCTCTCACATTTCATGCTACACATTCATGCGATCGTACTGGTATAATTTAAACTAGAAAAACGGCGACGTTTTGTGGGCTGGAGCTCTAGTTATTAGTCTTACACTTGGAATTAAATTTAAGATAG